TTCTTCTTCTTCTTCTTTTTTATTTATTTGACAGAGAGAGACTCAGCGAGAGAGGGAACACAAGCAGGGGGAGTGGGAGAGGGAGAAGCAGGCTTCCCAGGGAGCAGGGAGCCCGATGCGGGGGCTCGATCCCAGGACCCTGGGATCATGACCTGAGCCGAAGGCAGATGCTTAACCAACTGAGCCACCCAGGCGCCCCTGCCACCATCTTCTGCAACAGGTGAGAGACAAGACAAACACTCTTGCCCGGGCACCCAGGTGCAGGCAGCTGACTGGTAGGCCTTTCTGTTAGAGGCAGGAGACAGGAACCTAGTCACAGGCAGCAAGCTGGCCCAGAATCTCCCTTTCCCTTGGGGCCAGGCTGAGGGTGGCACCCATCATAGGCTAAGGGCCAGGTCACCAGTGTTATGAGGAACCCTGGGTGGCTTCTATGAGGCATCAGAGCTGGGCCCTGCCCACCCCCCCACCCCACCCCCCGCCGGCCCCAGGAAAGTATAAATGTGTCACAGTTACCACCACTGGAGCCTACACTTATTGAGCAGGTTGGGGGAGGGGAGCCCACAGAGCATTGTTGGGGTTTGTGAGGTGGAAGCTGATGTTCTGTGCACCTCAGCTGCAGAGGGAAGGGGGAGACAGGAAATGGGTGGGGGGAAGAGGAAGCCTGAGCTGGAAAGTCAGACAAAGCGGGTACTAGAGAAACAAAGGCTGAGGAGAGACAATGTTAAAAACCCACAGAGTGACCCAGAGCCCTGCCCTGCCCGTCTCTGGGCCTCTGCACAGCCGTACTGCTACCACTGGTGAGGGCAAGGATGAGCAAGAGGCAGTTTGTGGGTTTTGAGTGTTGGTTTGTTTTTAAGATTTTATTTTATTTATCTATTATTTTTTTTTTTTAAGATTCCATTCGTTCAGTAGAGAGAGACGGAGAGAGCACAAGCAGGGGGAGAGGCAGAGGCAGAGGGAGAAGCAGACTCCCTCTGAGCAGGGAGCCCGATGCGGGGCTCGACCGCAGGACCTGGAGATCATGACCTGAGCTGAAGGCAGACTCTCAACCATTTGAGCCACCCAGGTGCCCCTTAAGATTTTATTTATTTATTTGTTAGAGAGAGCACAAGCAGGGGGAGCAGCAGGGGCAGAGGGAGAAGCAGACGCTTAACCGACGGAGCCACGCAGGCACCCCGGTTTTGAGTGTTATTAAGCATTGTCTCACTGAAGACATCCCCAACTACTTGTGGAGTAGAAGTAGCATAGTAACATTTCCCGTTGAGAGGTAAACAAACAGCTGCAGGGACCTCCTCAAGGTCTGATGGAAATGCGTGGTGGAGGGGCACCTGGGTGGCTCAGTGAACCTGTCTGCCTTCAGCTCAGGTCCTGATCTCAGAGTCCTGAGATCGAGCCCCACATCCAGCTCCCTGCTCAGAGGGTGTCTGCTTCTCCCTCTGTCCCTCTCCCTACTTGGGCTTTCTCTTTTTCTCTCTCTCTCTCTTTCTCTCTCTGACTCTCAAATAGATAAATAAAATATTCTGAAAAAAGAAAAGAAATGCATGGTGGAGCTGGCTTGGAACTCAGGTCTACCAGGTCCTGCATTCTTCAGCTGCCCCTTGACCTGTCACCTGCCATAGGGGTGATTTAGAATTTCAAGTTCTTGCCCAGTTCTGAACTTGGTAAGAGAGGGATACAGTGCTGGAGCTGGGGGAGAGATGAGGATCCATCTGTTCATCTCCACAGCAACCCAGGCCTTCTCTCCTGCAGTGGAATCCCTGGCCCCAGCTACAGATAACAAACACACAGCGACCTTGGGCCTGAAAAAATGACTGCAGAGACCTTGATGGAAGCAGAGTGGGCCTTTATTGAAGAGCTTGCGGGGGGTGGGGGGCGGTCTGTGAGCTTCTCCCCTTCCTCCAACGTCCTCTCCCCAAGCTAGGGCAGCAGGGGTGACAGGATGCTGGGGCTTTATACTCCCAGAGAACTGAGTGACCCCCCAACCCTCCCACCACCCCTTGCCAGGTGCTGGCGCCGTTGAGGCACCCCTCCCTTCCTCCTTCCCAGGAGGTCTCAGGAGGCACGCAGGTGCCCTCAGCAGAGGGTGAAGCGGCGGGCACTGATGTTCATGCGCGTGAGGCCAAGGTGCCGCAGCGGCGGGGCCAAGGCGAGGCCGGCCCCCGGCTCCAGCTCCAGCTCCAGCTCCGCCTCGTCCAGCAGTTCTTGGTGCAGGTGACAGGCTTGGTCCACCTTCAGCCGGTGCAGCTGGGCCCGCAGCCGAAGCAACTGCCCCGCCAGCTGCTGGTCCTGAGCCTGCATCTCCCGCTGCGGCCGAGAGGGGGCGTGAGACTGCGCACTGGTCCTCCGCCACTCGCGTCAGTCTTCCCTTCCTGTCCAACACCTGGGTCTTTGCCCCGGCTGTGTCCTCCCCACCCCCTCTCGCCCCAGCTGGATCCCTCCGCATCGCTCAGATCGTGCTGTAAAACTAAGGAGCGATTGTTACACAAATACAGGTGCCTGCAGGCCAACTAAACAGCAGTCTCCAATTTAGAGGCTAGACATCCTTTTGTTTGCACATATTGGGTTAAGAGCCACCTGCGTAATGCTGGCCTTCTCAGATTCTGCCTACAGTGTGGTCAGTGCCTCATTTTGTCCTGCACTGCCCCTTTGAGCTATAGCAATTCCCAGAGTAGGGGAGACCATGCCTTCCCCATCTATAACTGGTGGCCCCAAAGGGCAGGGCTCTGTCCCCAGAGCCACAGGAGTAGTCCGTAGTAGGTAGGTTGGATGGAATCCTGCTTCAGCAAGTCTCCCTGAATAAATTGCTGGATAAGTTCATTCACGGCTCCTTAGCCCCAGGGCAAAGCCACAGGAGTAGGGCAGTTGCTGGAGGCTAGGTCCACCCTCACCCCCTCCCCACACCCACGGTTGGTTCTTGGGTCCTAAGGATGACTGCCCACCCCACCCGACTCACCAGCTCCCGTCGGAGCCACTCAAGGGCAGAGTCCATTGAGTCGAAGCCGCAGAGGGCGCCAGGGCCCCCCAGCCCAGGTCTGGTTTGGGCCCTGTGCCACGTCTGGCTCTGGACCCGGGCTGTCCACTCCAGATATGAGGGCCGCCGTGTCTGCAGCTGCAGCTTGGCCGTCAGTGCCTTCACAGAGTCCAGGCTCTCTTCCTCCTCATCCTCTTCATTTTCTTCACCCACTGCCTGGAATTCCAGTGGGCCCAGGGACATGGTGGGTTTGGGGTGAGTGACGGGGCAAGGCTGCAGCTCTGGGAAAGGTTGGCAGTATGGCTGGGGGGTGTCGGCAGGAGCCGAGGGTGACAGAACTGTGCCAGGGAGTGTGTGATGGTGAATGTTCAAGGTGGGTCAGGGAGGCCGAGTGTGTCAGGGTGGGTGAATAGAGAGGTATGGGAAGCCGAGTGTGCAAGGGCTGGGATTTTCCTGGCCTGCTAACCCGGGATTCACGTGATGCCATCCGGATGGGGGCCGGAGGAGCTGGGCTCCTCCGGCCCCTTGGATGAATTTTATTGTCTTTGCCCAAAAGGAGACACCCTGTTCCCAGAAAGGAAGTTGCTCCAGGATGAGAAAAGCATCATCCACACTAGAGTCTTGGCCTTCTTCCCAAGACCCAAGTTAATGGGGGTGGGGAATGGATAGAAGGCTGATGAGCTGCCCTCTGTCCTCATGACATTTGGACATGTCATGGACTCTCTGTTGGGACAGATCAATGATTTCAAGCTGTACTCTAAGGACCTTTAGGTTCCCTTGGAAATCCCTCAAGGACTATGTATGGGATAAGGGCCGAGCTGTAGATGGGCTCCTAGACCCTCCCTCTCCCTGCCCCTCCCAGGGCTTCAACCAGAGCTGTTCCCTTTTTGAAACTTTGTATTGAAAAATAACAGACACAGAAAATTTCACACATCATAAGTAATGACAAGCCTTGCTGAATTCTCCCGAACTAAACCCACTTGTGTACCCAGCACCCAGATGGAACAACTGAGCATTACCGGCATCCAGGAATGCCCCTGGCGGGTCACTACTCTCCCAATCTCTGACAGCAACGATTAGTTTGCCTTTTTGTGTACTTCCTAATGGTTCTCAAACTTTATTTTTTTAAATGTGTTTTGGGGTTTTAAGATTTTATTTATTTGAGAGAGAGAGAGAGAGAGAGACAGAGAGAGAGCACGTGCACAAGCTGGGAAGAGGCAGAGGGAGGGAGAAGCAGACTCCCTGCTGAGCAAGGCTCAACCCTGGGATCATGATCTGAGCCGAAGACAGAAGACAGACGCTTAACCAACTGAGCCACCCAGGAGCCCTGGTTCTCAAACTTTAGCGTTCATGGAAATCTCCTGGAAAACGTATTTAAGGAGACACGTGGCGGTGGGGGGTGGGGCCGATAATTTGCATTTCTAATGAATTCCCATCCCAGCTGCTCTGGAATTTTACAATTCGTACTTTTTTTTTTTTAAGATTTTGTTTATTTATTTGAGAGAGAGAATGAGAGATAGAGAGCACGAGAGGGAAGAAGGTCAGAGGGTCAGAGGGAGAAGCAGACTCGCCGCTGAGCGGGACCCCGATGCCGGACTCCATCATCATGACCCGAGCCGAAGGCAGTCGCTTAACCAACTGAGCCACCCAGGCGCCCCCAATTCGTACTCTTTTCTGTCTGGTTCCTTTCACAGATCATTCCAATTTTATGTTTACGTTATGGGTGTCCACCTATGATTTCTTTTCTTTGTGTGTTTTTTATTTTTTATTTTTTTTATTTTTTTTAAAGATTTTATTTATTTATTAGAGAGAGAGAATGAGAGATAGAGAGCACAAGAGGGAAGAGGGTCAGAGGGAGAAGCAGACTCCCCGCCGAGCAGGGAGCCCGATGTGGGACTCGATCCTGGGACTCCAGGATCATGACCTGAGCCGAAGGCAGTCGCTTAACCAACTGAGCCACCCAGGCGCCCTCTTTGTGTGTTTTTTAAAAGAAGGGTTTTGCATACGTGTGTGCGCACACACGCACACCCACACAAACCTAGAACCTAGTGCACCAAAAGGCCCTTTGAAGGCAGGTGTCTGTCTTCTTCTTCTTAGTAATCAGCACTTAACACAGTATAGGCATCAGTGTTTAAGAAATGAAAGAATTAAAAAAAAAAGAAATGAAAGAAAAATTGGATGGATGGATAGATGGATGGATGGGTCCTCCAGTAAATCCTTTCAGCTCTTGTAGTTTACCAGCTTGGGTGTGTCTCTTGCCAGACGGAAAATCCTAATGAACAGAACCTTCCTCAGTCATCTTTGTGTCCCCATACAGGGGCCAGCTCGGTGAATGGGCAATTCATATTTGGTTGAAGGATGGAGTGATAGTGAGAGGAGAGGGCAGGACTAAACCAGGAGTGGCCCCCGTAGAGGGCGCCCTCAGACAGGGACTTCCAGCTGTGGTGGGGGAGGGGCACCAGCTACACAGCTGCTTGCATTTAAGGTGGACTAAGGGATTTCCCCCACCCAGCCTCAGATGTAGGGGGAGGAAGCACTCAGTTCCCAGTTTCACACCCACCCTTTCCACCCCTGCCACCAGGGTACAAAAGAAGAGACGGTAATTTTTCTTTTTTAAGTCAGTGAGAGTGCCGGCACCTAGGTTAAAAACAAAACAAAACAAAAATGTTGACTGCCACCTGAGACCAAGGCACGAGGTAAAGGGCTTTAAGCAAGATTATTCTCCCCATTTCACAGATAGATGAAATTGAGGTTTCCTTCACAGGTTCTGGCCGGGGTCCTCGCTCAGAGGTGCTGGCAGTAGGAGGGGAAAATTCCTGTGAAACTGTTCGATCCCTTCTTCCAAGGGGCCTCCTTAACAGCTGTCCTGCCGGCGTCGCCAGCTGCCCAGCCAGTTCCTGTCCCTTTCGGAGCCCGCGCTCGCCCCGCCTGACGCTCCGGGAGTCTGTCCTTCTTCTGGGCCCCAGGCCCACCACAGACGGAATGGAGTTCTCGGAGCTGATCCGTACCGGCCGGGCCCAAGCCAAGCTCCTGCGGGGTCCGGAGGCGCCCCCACTGCGTGGCACGCTATGCGTCACCGGCCACCACCTGCTGCTGTCGCCGGGGCCCCAGGCGACTTCAGACCTGTGGCTGCTGCTGTTGCGTAGGGTAGACTCCATCGAGAAGCGGTGAGACGTGGCGGGGGCGTCCCCGTAGTTGCGGAGCTTGCGGCTCCGCGGAGGAGGGGGAAGGGCAAGCGCGGTTGGAACTGGTACCCCCTTGCACTGCGTCCAATCCTAATAAACTCGTTTCTCCTCCGCTGGTGGGGGGCGGGGGATACTAAGCCTAAGCTCGTCCATCCCCAGGGTCTCGGGTGACTCCGGCACCATCACGTTGCGCTGTAAGGACCTGCGAGTGTTGCAGCTGGACATAGAGGGCGTGGAAGCCACGCTGGACATCGCCCGTTCCATCGAGGTACGCCAGCGGTGCTCCCGAGGCCCTTAAGCTACCCCTATTTCGTAACGACGGGAGTAAACAGGGGCTACTGCGCAGGGAGACTCAGCATCCAGCGTTATCCTGGAACACAGCTAATGGCAAGGGATGCAGGGAGGTCTAGAGTACGTGCAGAGGAGGGAGCTGCGGAGCGCAGGGGCCGGGAGCGCGCGGGTGAGAAGATTTCGACTTTGCCCCGATCCCCCCCCCGACTTCCTTCCCCAGGCGCTGTCGTCCTTGGAATCGGTCATCACTTCCTTTCCGTTCTTCTACCGTCCCAAGGGCTTGAGACTGGGCGACGCCTGGCACTTCCACCCACCCGAACGCTACTACAAGCGAGTAGCTCGCGAGGTGGGTGCGGTGGTGGGGGCCCGCGGTTGTGCGAGCGCCGGGCCTGGAAGGGGCGTGAGGACCGGGCGCTCACTGAGTGCCCTAACCTGGCCTTTGCCTCTCCGTGTGCCGCAGACCAACGCGTGGCGGCTGAGCGAGGTGAACGAGGACTTCAGCTTGTGCCCCAGTTACCCCCGCGCGGTGATCGTGCCTCGCGCGGTAGACGACGATGCCCTGGCGCGCTGCGCCCGCTTCCGCCAGGGAGGCCGCTTCCCTGTGCTCAGCTACCACCACGCTCCCAGCGGAACCGTGAGCCCGCCCGTCCCCAGACTCCGCCACTAGGAACAACTGCGTCCCTTCTTGGCCCTTTTCTGCACTGGCCCGGCCAATTCTCCGCGCGCGGGCCGCCCAGGCTCTTGCCCTTTCTGGCCCCGCCCCCTCCGTTCCCTCCGCCCTCCCCGGACTCTGACCCCGCCCCTCTGTCCCAATACGGAGTCTTGCCAATCTGGGCCCCGTCCCCGGCCGTTCGGGTTCCTGGAGCCTAGTCCGGTCTTTGTCAACCCTGGATCCGCCCAAGGTCTACTCTTCAGGTCCCTTTCCCCTCCGGCTACACCCCACCCAAGCCCGGGCCCTGCGCCTCGTAAGTTCCGCTGCTAGGGTCCCTGCGCTCCAGCCCGCCCCTGCCAGGCTCTGGACCCGCCCTAGTGTGTAGACCCTCCCTAGGGGCTCCCCGAGCGACGTCCCCGGGCCGGGGCTGGGTGGCTATGGCTTCCGGAGTGGAGTCCCCGTCCGCAGGTGCTGCTCCGTTCCAGCCAGCCCCTGACTGGTCCCCAGAAAAGGCGCTGCGCTGAGGACGAGGAGCTGCTGCGAGCTGCGCTGGCGGGGGCTCGCCCTGGAGCCCGGGGTTTCATCTTGGACACGCGCTCTGCTCAGGCCGCCAAACAGGCCCGCGTGACTGGCGGCGGCACCGAGGCCAAAGCCGCCTACCCGGGCTGGAAACGGCTGCACCGGCCCCTGGAGAGGTGAGAGGCCTTTCTGTCCTCTTCTGGGCGCTCTCCCACCGGACCCTTCGGGCAGACGAGTGTGTGTGTGGTGGGGGGGGAGGGTAGCAGGAGTAGGGGGTGTCTTCCAGGAACCTTGGGGACTGACTGTTAGGCATTTCTGAGTAGCCATCCTATCCGGTGAGCATCCCCACTTGCACACACACACACACACCCCCCAGAGCTCATTTCTCTCTAGGCACCCCCAACCCTGCCTGGAAAGAAAAAGCCTCTCTTTACATTAAACTGGAATTTGTCTTCCACGAACAACCTCACCACACACACACATGCACATACATGCACACACGCTCACACACACCCACACCTCTCTCCCCATTGGTCCCGGCCCTCCCCTGAGGGCTCTACCTGCACAGCTGTGTCTCTCCAGGTGATGGTAGTACCAAGAGCAGGTCCTCAGGGAGTTTTTGTGCTTTGAGGAGAGTGGACTGCTCCCCTGTCCAGAATACAAAACTGTTTATTCCTTCATTCAACCAATGTTGATTGAGCACAGAGGCTGGGACGGTGGCCAGCCCAGACGGGGTTGGGAGATCAGCAGTACATGGGCAGTTAGGGTTCAGGGTGATGAGCGGCAGCACAGAGCAGGCGCCCCTCTCCTGTGTGTAGGGAGTACAAAGAAAGTTTCCCTGAGAATTGGAGGTGTTAGCTGGCACCTGGAAGAGGAGTTGGCCAGAGAGCAGAACATTCCAGGTGGAAGGAAAGGCAGGTGCACAGGGGCAGAGCTCCTGGTCATTTGTCCTGTTTGGGGAGCTGCAAGCACTTCAGAATGGTGGACGTGTAGCCTGTGGGCTAGACGCAGAGAGAGATGGGGCTAAAGGGGTGACAGGGACCAGAGCAAAGGTCTTGAATGCCATCATTATGAGCTTAGACTTCATCCCAAAGGCAGGGGGGAGCCACTGAAGGCTTTTACTCAGGGCTGGAAAAGTCTCCATGAGATTTTCTGGCAGGAGGTCACATGGGTAATCTTGAGCAGGGCAGTTCCTGGGAAGCAGGAGCAGGTACCAGAATCCTAAGAGTGTTGTGTTTCTCTTGTCAGACTGGGGCTCCCCGGGGAGTACGGTGTCGCTCCCATCAGATTGGGCTACTTCAAGGGCACTGGGATGCTTCCATCAAAGTGGGGGTTTCCCAGGGCATTGTTTCCCAGGAGGGTTGTGTGACCCCTCCCCAGGTACCCCCCCAACAGACTAGGTCTCCCCCAAGGGGTCTGGGGTCTCCTCCATCAGATTGGGGAATCCTCCAAGATCCTGAACCATTTCCATCAGATTAGGTGGGCTCCCCAAATGGTCCTGTGTCCCTCTTATCAGATGGGTTCCTCTGAGGGTTCTTTGTCTGCCTCGTTGGTCTGGAGCACTTGTTCCCAGGCTGTGCTCACCAGAGCTCGGGTGGAGATGGGATGACCAGATTCCCACTTGTGCAGGGGATGGCCCCTACAGGAGAGTTTCGTGCGCCTGGTGGAGGCCTGTGGAGACCTGGAGCAGAGCATGGACCGCTGGCTCAGTCAACTAGAGGCCTGCCACTGGCTGGCACATGTGAAGGAGGCACTGAGCACCGCCTGCCTAGCAGCCCAGGGCGTGGGGAGGTAAGCCCCCCGCCACGAGGCAAAGAACAGGGTGGACGGGCAGGGCCCTCAATCCCTGGGCACACAACCATGTCTCAGTAAGCACGGACAGCCTAGAAATGGGCCCATTTGGCTCCTGGCCCGCCCACCCCAGGCTGGGAAGGCCTGGCCACTGTTAACAGCCCTGGCCCACAGGGAAGGGGCCTGCGTCCTGGTGCATGGGGCTGAAGGCACGGACAGCACCCTGCTGGTGACTTCGCTGGCCCAGCTCATCCTGGACCCCTCGAGCCGGACCATGGCTGGATTCCAGGAATTGGTGGAGCGGGAGTGGATCCAGGTAAGTGGCTGCTCAGCCCCAGCCCTGCCCCTCTATCCAGAGACCCTGCCTCCTTGTGCCCATCGCTCTGCCCCCTCCCCAGGCCGGCCACCCCTTCCAGCTGCGCTGTGCCCACTCGGCCTTCTCCCATGCCCGCCCCAAGCACGAGGCACCCACCTTTCTCCTCTTCCTGGACTGCGTGTGGCAGCTGGGCCGCCAGTTCCCGCTGTCGCTGGAGTTTGGGGAGGGGCTGCTGTTGGCCCTGTTTGAGCACGCCTATGCCTCCCCTTTTGGCACCTTCCTCTGCAGCAGCGAAAAGGAGAGGTGAGCGAAGGGGGTGTCAAGGTGGGTCAGGGGCTGGGCACAGGCCAGGGTCAGATGCCTGCTGTGTCAGCACCGAGGTCCCAGAAGACATCTTTCCCTTTTGGATGAGTTTCTCTTTGGGGAAAACTCCAGGGTTTTCTCCTCCCCTGCCTCCAAATCTCACCCTTCCCCCTAACTTCTGCAAACCCAGATTTGAATGGGTCCACGGCCAGTCCTTCAGACCTACCCGCTCTGTTCAGAGCCAAGAGCAGACACACCCCTAGCTTAAAAACAAGGACTGAAGGGGGAAGTTGCTGCCGAATAAGTCATTTCTGGGGCTCTCTACCACTTTGCAGAGTTGATTCTAGTGAAGCAAAGGAGTAGAGGTTGAAAACGGAGTCAAATTGTTTGGGCTTAACTTCCGGCTCCATCACTCACCTGCTGGTGATCATAGGAAACCTGTTTCCTGTTAGTAGCAAGGAGGCTTCTAGTAGCAGCGGGCATGTCTGGGGGCTGGGGCTATGTGTGGATTAGCTGGGTTAAAGCATGCGAAGTGCTTGGCACAGAGCCTGGCCCGTGGGCACTCCAGCTGTGGCTGTTCTTACGGTCTGGTTCGCCTGGTGCATATGCTCCCAAGCCCCCCCAAAGCCATCTTTCTCTCATCCGTCTGACATGAGGGGAGGGTTCACTCCCCTTCTCACTTTTGTTGCTCAACCACCCCCCGCCCCAACGTTGTTTTCACTGACACCATTACTGGGTCACCCCGGTTAGAAACTCTTATCTCGATGTATCTCCCTCTCCCCTGCCCTTCATATACAGCCTTTCTCCTAAAGCTTTCTTACCTTGTCCTTTCCTGGCAAAGGCCCCTCCTACTGACCCCAGTCCAGACTCTTCTTTCCATGTGGGCTGTGGGAACAGCCGCCTCACTGTTCTATCACCAGTTTAAAAAACTCACCAACAGGGGGCGCCTGGGTGGCTCAGTTGGTTAAGTGTCCGACTCGATTTCAGTTCAGGTCATGATCTCGGGGTCATGAGATCGAGCCCCGCGTCGGCCTCCACAGTGGGCTCCGCACTGGATGTGGAGCCTGCTTGATTCTCTCTCTCCCTCTGCCCCCCCACCCCCTGCTTGTGCTTTTTCTCTCTTTTTAAAAGAAAAAGACAAAAACCCACCAACGCCCACTTGGGCCCTCTCCCATTTTCTTGCTCTTGGCCCTGTTGTCTTCCCTCCCCTAAGTATTTCTGTGCTTTTGCACATCTGGTGAGCTTCTGCGGACAGAACCAGCCCAAGTGGCACGTTCTCAGTAACCTTCCCTGAGGCTTCCAGGCAGAGCTCAATGAACTCCTGAACAACTAGGACTTTGTCTTGTTCTACTTTATTCCAGTGCTCAGTACAGGATCTGACTGGCAAGAACATTTGCAGGAAAAAGGAGAGATTATCACTGCCCCCAGGGTGGCTGTCACCCACCTAACCAGGGTCCCCGGTCCAGAATCCCAGAAGGCGTAGCTTGAGTCTGGAAACTCACTCCCTACAGATGCCTGTGTGAAGTGAGGACTCGAACCCACTCCTTGTGGTCTGGGCTCAACCAGCCAAAAGAGCAACGGAAACTCCGGAACCCGCTCTACGTCCCCAGTCCCTTGGCCATCTGGCCCTCTGTGGAGCTCCAGACCCTGCGACTGTGGCAAGGTGACCCCCTACCCCACCTCCTTCCCCGGGGAGCCAGCCCCTCTGCTCAGTTTCCTTATCTGCCCTCCTCCTCCTCAGGCCTGTTTCTGCGCTGGATCCGCCCGCCTGAACCTTCAGAGGTAGCCTGGGAGAAGGTGTGGCAAATAGTGACAGATAAGAAGACAGAGGGCTGTGAGCCAACGGTTTCAGCCTCTGAGCCCCGACTTTAAGTGCTGGCTCCTTGGATGGTGGCTGAGATGTTCCAGAGACGCCTCCAGGTCCCTTAGCACCTTTGGACCTTGGATGAGGGTGCCTGCAACCCAGCCTCGTCCAAAACATACTGAAGCTCCAGGTTTGAGGTGTCTATAGCGTAGGGAGAAGGTCTAACTAATAACTAATAAAGATCCCCATGACTGGTATCAGCTCGCTGGGGTGTCACTGAGGAGGGAAAAGGATGACACAGTCCCCACAAAATTTCTGACCAGAAACCACTTATTTCCAAACGAATTTATTACTCAGAGTCCAAAACTTTCTGTGAGCCCTGGTCCAGAAACGTCCCCCGGTCCTGATGGAGATCCAAGCTTCTTAAGCCTCAAACTCAAATTCAAAGTACTGTGGGTCGAAGTAGTGGATGCGGACATAACCATCTTCACCGCCGCTGCTGTAGCTGCAGAGACAGCGAGCGAGCCAGGGACCAGTCAAGTGTCCCGTCTGGGGGAAGGCAGGCCCAGGGGCGGGGGGGGGGGCAGGGTACGGGAAAGGGCCAGAGGCCAGAGCAGGGCTGAGCTCAGTTCCCTGCATGGAGCCCTACCTCTTGCCATCGGGATGGAAGGCAACACTGTTGATGGGCCCGAAGTGACCCTTGACTCTTCCAAACTCTTCTTCGAAGGCCAAGTGAAAGAACCTGGAGGAGGGTGGTGGGAAGAGACAGGTCACTCTCCATCTCCTTCCAAGACATGTTGGACGTACCGCTCCCCAAATGCAAAGCAGAAAGTGGGGAAACAGGGATGAGGGCGAATGAATGGGAACAAAATAAGAGAAGGGTTAAGACTGGACCCAAGCGTCTGCCTGCAATCGCGGCTAACACTTCGTTACTATGTGCTGGGCAGCAAGTACTAACTCGGGCATTTAATCTGCACGGTTTTATGAGGGGAGTATGTTATCGCTGTCCCCAGTATACAGGGGAGGAAACCAGGCACAGAGAGACACAAGGATGGGTCCAGGGCCTCAGAGGGAGCCCATGGTCATGCTCGCTAACTGCTATGCTACACACTTGTCACAGGAAGGCCACAAATCTGGCTGTACCTCCTAGCAGGCAATGAAACAAGAAGTCTCCTCAGGTGTATGGTTTGTGTCCATCACAAAAGACACTCTGTGGGGTTTCAATTTGGAAGAGCCCCCCTTTTTAAGATTTTATCTATTTATTTGACAGAGAGAGAGAGCACAAGCAGGGGGAGCGGCGGGCAGAGGGAGAGGGAGAAGCAGGCTCCCCACTGAGCAGGGAGCCCCACACGGGGCTGGATCTCAGGACCCCGGGATCATGACCTGAGCCGAAGGCAGACGCTTAACCAACTCAGCCACCCAGGTGCCCCCGTCACCTCTCTCTTTACCTGGCTTCAAACTTGCCAATCCTGGTGGAGGTGGTGGTTACATCCATGGCTTCCTGACCACCGCCCAGCACCACCTGAAGGGAAGAAGAAATTCTAGACAGGCCCGAAGGGCAGGCAAGTCCATTTTCTGTTTTTACCCTCAGCCCATAAGTTTTTTTTTTTTTTTTTTTAAGATTTTATTTATTTATTTGAGAGAGAGAGAGACAGCGAGAGAGGGAACACAAGTGAAGGGAGCGGGAGAGGGAGAAGCAGGTTTCCCGGGGAGCAGGGAACCCGATGCGGGTCTCGATCCCAAGACCCTGGGATCATGACCCGAACCGAAGGCAGACGCTTAACGACTGAGCCACCCAGGCGCCCCGCCCATAAGCTTTTATATTAGTACGTCAGACTGAGTATATCAGTACTCAGTACATGAGTACTCAGCACATCAGACTGAGATGATGCTAAGGGCAGGCCCAAAAAGATCCTTCAGTTACCCCCTGCCCTGCCCTCTGGGGCTTCCCGATCATTCGGCCTTCTCATTGCTCTGGTAATCTCCTCTCTACCTGACACTATTTCCTACAGAGTTCATATCTCAATTGCTAGACGAACACCTAGGTCCTGGAAGCATTCAAGGAATGTCAGCAGGAAGCCCAGGTGGGGTTCCCTTACATGGTCGTAGTTGGGAGAGAGGGCAGCTGAGTTGACTGGACGTTCTGTCCGGAAAGTCTTCTGGTGTTCAAGAGTTGTGGAGTCAAAGAGCTAGAGAGAGAAGACAGGGGAAGAAAATCTGTAACAGGAGTCTTCCTGAGGGAAAGCTGGGCAAGGGGAAAGCTTTGCAGGGGGTGGGAGCAGCCCTTCCAGACTCCTCACCCAGGCTCACCTTGGCTGTGTTGTCCTTAGAGGCGGTGACAAACATGGTCATGTCCCTGGATAACTGGATGTCATTGATCTGCCGGGAGTGCTCCTTAACATTCACCAGGACCTCTCCAGACTGGGGAAGGCAAAAGAGTGAGGGTCCAGGCAGCCCGAACTCCACCAGCCCCACTGCTCTGCTGGGGTTCTATACTGCTCCCTGTCCGGGCCGGGGGTGGGGGGGGGTCTAGGGCGGGTGAGCCTAAGTATCCCCTGAACCAACATTCACCCCCCACTCCCGAGCCCAAGCCCCCATCCCAACCTGTCCCACATGTACACACTTCAACACTGCTAGTCAGGCTAGGAAAACACGGGTTTCTGGTGACAAATCTATGGACCTAGGAACTAATCAGCACGTCACAAGGGGAGAGCCGTTTTCACTTCCTTCTTGTAGTCCCCGGATTGTGAACAGTCACAATTTGCCGAGCACTGTGCCATGCGCTCAACACCTGACTTCGTTCATCCTCACACCAACCCCATGAAGTGGGTCTTTTAAAGGACATTTTCAAAGGCAGAAAGTAAGGTTCAGAGGGGTGATTGTGACTCGCTGCAACCTGTAAGATGCAGAGAGCCTGAGCTCACCCCCTGCCCAGCCAGGGTGGGGGTCACAGTCCACTGGGACTGCTGCACGTCCAGCTTTTTCTAGATCTTCTCAAAGAGCCATTTCATCTCCTGACTTCCCTTCCCACACAGCAACCTGCTAGCCAGTACCGTACAAAGAACAGTTTGAGAGGCTGCCCTCAGAAGCACCTGTTGCTGCCTCAATTTCTCTCTCTACAAAACAAGATGACTGAAGGCCCACCACCCAGGGTCACGGTAGGGACACCGGGACTGTGTCTCATTTGACTTTGTTGTGACAGGAACCTGGCCTGTGTTCTGCAGACATTTATTAGATGATTAAAAGGCCTTGTGAGCACTGTGCCTCACACACAGCAGACCCTCAGAGACCTTTCTTTTCCTTTCCTGAATTATTTTTGTTGTTTTTAAGTAAGCTCTACGCTCACTGCGGGGCTTGTACTCACGACGCTGAGATCAAGAGTCTCATGCTCTATTGACTGAGCCAGCCAGGCGCCCCTTTCCTGAATGATTTTTACCTACTCTGTGAGAAGGATGTATTTTGGTCTCCTCCATCAATGTGGACACATGGTGGGGACCTATCTGGCTCCTGTATTTCAGGGAGTAAGCACCAGCTTTGCAGTCAGGCCTATCTGAAGGCACAGAACAGCTCCACTAGGTGCTGGCACCAAGCGTTATGTATGCCTCTGACCTTGGTTCCCATTCCTCTCCTGCAGGTGGGTCTGGGGCCTAGCGGACTGCAGGCAGTGTTTGCTGAGAGACTGACTAACCCTATGGCAGTACATGCCAGCATTGCCCAGGAACCCGGGCACCCAAACGAGAATCCAAGACAGGCCGGCTTGTCCCTCTCCTTACCCCCATCTCATCAGTCACCCCTGAATATCTCTTGACGCTGTCAGGGGCTTCATGTCCCCAGAGCTATTTCCTCATTCAGGTCCATTCTCTGAACTAAGCCTTCAAAAGCTTTCTAAAGAGAAAAATCTGATCACCAGTCACCATTTAAAGAGTCTCTACTGCCCAAAAGAAAAACACTCTTCCTTACCTCTTGACACTCAAAAAAAAAAATCTAGTCGCTATTCACTTTCCCCAACACTGTGTCCCAACAGCCCCAGACTCTCTTCTGAACAAACCTCCCATTCCCTTAACTCCGTGCTTTTGTGTGCACTGTTTTCTCCGCCATTCCGTGGGATGGCCTTCTCTTCTTGCTTGAAGCTCCACTTATTCTTCACGGGTTAATGTACGGGTCACCTTCTCTGTG